AGTGGGAGGAGTCATCTGATTTTAAGACATATTATATCATTTTAAAGACTGAATTGATGTCGGTGGAAGAATAGACACATAGGTTAATGGAACAAGACAGAGAACCCAGAAACAGACCACTCAAATATGTCCAACTGATTTTTGACAAAGATGCAAAGCAACTCAATAGATAAAGGCTAGTCATTTCAACAAACGGTGCTCATGATGGTTAATATTGTCAACTTGATTGGATTGAAGGATGAAAACTATCGTTCCTGGGTGTGTCTGTGAGAGTGTTGCCAAAGGAGATTGATATTTTAGTCAGTGGACAGGGAGAGGCAGACCCACTCTCAATCTGGGTGGGCACCATCTAATTAGCTGCTAGGAGGCTAGAATAAAGCAAACAGGAGAAGGTGGAAGAACTTGACCTGCTGAGTGTTCTGGCCTTCATCTTTTCTCCCATGCTTCCTGCACTCGAACACCAAACTTCAAGTTGTACTCCTGTATGTATACCAGTGGTTTGCCGGGGCTCGCGGGCCTTGGCCACAGACTGAAGGCTATAGTCAGCTTCCTGACTTGTGAGGTTTTGGGACTTGGACTGGCTTCCTGGCTGCTCAGTTTGCAGACAGCCTTTTGTGGGACTTCACCTTGTGATTGTGTGAGTCAGTTCTCCTAGTAAACTCCCCTTTACATTATACATCTGTTCTGTTAGTTCTGTCCCTTTAGAGAAACCAAATGCAGTGCTGGAATACTTTAGTATCTGTAGGCAAAAGAATGAACTTCACACTTTACACAAACCTTAATTCAAGTAGACTGTGGACATAAATGTCAGATGTAAAACTTAAACACTTTTAGGGAAAAAAAACCTAAGAGAAGATCTTCAGGACACAGGACTAAACAAAAAGTTACACTTAATATGATCCATAAAAGGAAACACTGGCTGGGCGCGGTGGCTCACACCTGTAATCCCAGCACTTTGGGAGGCCGAGGCAGGAGGATCACGAGGTCAGGAGATCGAGACCATCCTGGACAACATAGTGAAATCCTGTCTCTACTAAAAATACAAAAAAATTAGCTGGATGCAGTGGCATGCCCCAGCTACTTGGGAGGCTAAGGCAGGAGAATTGCTTGAACCTAGGAGGTAGAGATTGCAGTGAGCTGAAATTGTGCCACTGTACTTCAACCTGGGCAACACAGCAAGACTGCGTCTCAAAAAAAGAAAACACTGGTACAGTAGTGGACTTCATCAAAATTACAGATTTTTGGCCAGGCACAGTGGTTCACACCTGTAATCCTAGCAATTTGGGAGGCCGAGGTGGGCAGATTGCCTGAGCCCGGGAGCTGGAGACCAGCCTGGGCTACATGGAGAAACCCAATCTCTACTAAAAGTACAAAAAGTTAGCCAGGCCTGGTGGTGTACACCTGTAGTCCTAGCTACTTGGGAGGCTGAGGCAGGAGAATTGCTTAACCTGGGAGGAAGAGGTTGCAGTGAGCCAAGATCATACCACCGCACTCCAGTCTGGGCAACAGAGCAAGACTCTGTCTCAAAAAATAATAATAATAATTACAGATTTTTGCTCTGTGTAAAACTGTGTTGAGAGGATGAAGGATAAACCATAGACTGAGAGAAAATATTTGCAAAACACATATCTGACAAAGGACAAGTATCTAGAATGTAGTTTAAAACTTTCAAAACTCAACAGTTAGAAAAAATACAGTAGAGGCTGGGCACGGTGCTTCAGCCTGTAATCCCAGCACTTTGGGAGGCCAAGGCAACATTCAACCCAGCAGTAGCACTGCTGGGTATTGATCACACACACAAAAATGAATCCTTATGTTCACACTAAAACTTGTGCAGGAATGTTCATAACAGCTTTGTTCACAATAACCAAAAACTGGAGACAACCCAGATTTTTCCATGGGTGAATGATTAAACCAATTGTGGTATATCCATACCATGAAACGCTATTCAACAGTAAAAAGGAAGAATTCAGAGACCCAACAACTCAGATGCATCTCCAGAGAATTAGGAAGAGTGTAAAATGCCAGTCCCAAAAGGTTCTGTGATATATATATATATATATATACATATATACACACACACACACACACACACACATAAACATTTTTGAAATAATAAAATTATACATATGAAGAACAGAGTAGGGATTGCTATGGTCTGAATGTTTGTGTCCCCCTAACATTCATATGCTGAACCTAATCATCGGTGTGATAATACTAGAAGGTGGGGCCTTTGGAAAGTAATTAGATGAATGCCCCTTTAAAAGAGGTCTCGGAGCGCTCTCTCAGCATTTCCATCATGTGAGTATGCAGTAAGAAGCTGCCTTCTATGAGCCAAGAAGTGGGCCCCCATCAGACACCAAATCTGCTGTGCCTTGATCTGGAACTTCCTACTCTCCAGAAGTAGAATTTAAAAATTTCCGTTATTTATAAGCCATCCACTTTATGGTACTTTGTTATAGCAATGCCAGCAGATTAAGACAGGGATTAAGGAGGGAGTTGGGAGGTGGGAGGGAAGTGGGTATGATTATAAGAGGAGAACAGGAGGGATCCTTTTGGTGGTAGAATGGTTTTGTATCTTGACTGTATTAATGTAGATATCCTGGTTATGACACTGTAGTATTGTTTTGTAAGATATTATTGGTGGAAACTGGGTAAAGCTTACAGGAGATCTCATTTCTTGCATGTGAGTTTTTAATTTTCCCAAAATAAAAAAGTTTAATAAAGTTTAGGGGTAAAACCTGGATATGTCAAAAGATTTTAGTTTAAATTTCTACTTTAACACTTCGCAGTTCCACTGAACACAGTATATCCACAGAACATGGTGGTAAGATCATCTTGGTAGTCCTGGGTCCCATCATGCTAGGACTAGGAGGGTCAATTGGAGGAGCTGCATGAGGTTATACTCTTGAAGGGCCTCAAGTGCAAATGTCTGATATTGTTTCTGGAGATAAGCTGATGAGAGCAAAGGATGGCAAACAAGGGTGATGTAGGAGGTACAGTCAGTGCTTTGTCCTACCCTGGAATCCCTCAAACCAGTTCTGTCTGCCCCTCCTCTGGCTACTGTGTGTTTTGCTTCTGACAGCCTGGACTGTCACTGTTCATTCTGAGAATAAATGCAGGCTTGTGAAACTGCTTTGGGTCACCAAGAACCAGAGGGGCCTGTGAGTTTACTCCTCACACACTCACGTGTACAAGAATGTGAAAGCTCAGTTCCTTTGCATCTGTTACACTCCAGAGTTCAGATCCTTCTAAAAATCATACTCTTATGTGGCCTCTTCTCCTAGCTTTACCCCTTTCTTTACCTTCACTGGTTTCTACTGGAAGCCCTTAAAACATCATCTGTATACATGTATCCCGTTGCTGGAATATTCTAAGTATTCAAATGCATTAAAATTTTTAATAAATATAAATTTATAAAAATTTATAAATGTTAATTATACATTTTCTTATGAATTACATTATATAATGCTATATTTTGTCAAAATGCATTGAACACACTATGTCAGCGTTTCAAATATGTACCAATTTTATAATCTTGTTTTGGTACTTCTTTCTTTTTTAATCTACTGAATGTTTCAAGAAACAAAAATGGAATGGCCTGAGTATGCCATTTGGATGGGTCTTCATTCAATGTTCTATAATTATCTCAGCTTTGGATCTTTAAAAACGGTCAATATCACTTCTGACAGCTTTTATTGGTTTCTGATTAAAAGCCTGTGTTTAAAAATCCTAAACATTAAATCCAACCCATTGGTGCTTACACTCTTTTGATTAAAGAAGCAAAAGCCCTAACTTTCATCCAGCCCATCTCTTTCTTTGGCAGGGAAAAAGAACTTGGTGACAATAGAGAACTGGAGAGGAAAAATAGAATTATTTACCTACTTTTAAGAGAGGAGTATGATCTCATTCATATAATTGTATATTCCTAAATACTGCCCTATTTTTCAAAAAACAAGCAATTTTTCACACTTGCCTTGATAAATATGTTATTTAAGCAAAAAAAGCCAGCATATTCCATAAAGTATAAGCAAATTTCAGAGGAATTACAGGTTGATTGCTTTAGTAATAAGAACTCAAACCTTTAAATGTATATTATATTAATTATATTATATTGTATTATATTATATTATTTATTACAGAGTCTTGCTCTGTCACCTAGGCTGGAGTGCAGTGGCACAATCTTAGCTCACTGCAACTTCTGCCTCCCAGGTTCAAACAATTCTCCTGACTTGGTCTCCCGAGTAGCTGGGACTATGGGCATGCGCCACCACGGCTGGCTAGTTTTTATATTTTTGGTAGAGACAGGGTTTTGCCATGTTGGCCAGGCTGGTCTCAAACTCCTGACCTCAGGTGATCCACAGGCCTCAGCCTCCCAAAGTGCTGGGATTGCAGACGTGAGCCACCATGCCCTGCCCTGATATATATTATTTTAAAGTTGCTCTAGAAAAAGTGAAAATATTTAAAGTAGTTAACACTATACAGAGTTGGTTTAACCACACAATTCACAATAAACTTACTTGATATTGATGAAGCCAAACAAACATAGTTAATAAGTAAGTAGGAATAACAGCTCTTAAAGACGACTTCCTGTGGGAATAGTGCTATTAACAGCCTCCTTCCAAAACTGGGAATTCCAATTACCTTCTACTGCACATGAGCAGGAATGGTGTAATACTGCAGATCCAAATGGTGAGTGATCATTCTTGATAAAGCCAAATAATGCACTCATTTTAATTTACAAATTCTCAACATTAGTGACTTCCTATATCTTACCTGGTGGATTTCTAGTTGTGTGTAAAAATAAAAAGCTATATATTTGCAAACTATTTGCCTATGAAAATGGAAGAAATGGCTTGGGCATTTGTATAATTTAATAGCCCATCAGAAAGACTCTTGAGGTACAATAGTGTGCCATGGCCCTATTTGGAGAATCACTGGTCTGGACTTTTCAACTATAATCACTAGAAATGTATCTCAATCGTGAATGTTTGGTTGCCAAAAATGTAAGCCTACCTTTATTACCTTTCTAGCACTACTGTAACTAGTACAACAAACAGCAGAAGTTCATTCTCTCACAGTTCCGGAAGCTAGAAGTCTGAAACCAAGATGTTGGCAGGGCCATGCTCTCTCCAAAGGCTCTCGGGAAGAATCCTTTCTTGTCTCTTCCAGCATCTGGTGGCCCCAGGTGTTCCTTGGCTTATGGTAATCTAACCCCAATTACCACCTTTACCTTAATATGGCTGTCCTCTCCCTGTGTGTCTCTTTGTGTTCTTTCTTTTTATAAAGACACCAGTCATTAGACTTAGGGCTGATAGCATTATAGATGGCACTTCCATGATGGCATTGCTTTAACCTGATAGCTTTGACACCAAAAAAGAGGAAAAAGGAGAAACGATGGTTTAGCATTCTGGATTAAACCAGATGAGCTCATATTAAACAACTGTATCAGCAAAAACCATATTTCCAAATAAAGTCATATTCTGAAGTTTCAGGTGGACATGAAATTTTAAGGGACAGGATTCAACCTCTACAATGACCTAAGCCAGCTCAAGTCAGTTATCACAGAATCCAAGGAAAAGCTAAACTGTCCACTTTTCAAAGTGTAGGAACCAGATAGATCCATGGCTTTCAGTGGCAAAGGTTGATCTTCAGTCTAGGGTCTATCAAATATATGACACAGCCATGGAGGCAGCATACTTCCCATGAAATACAGACAAGTGTTATAAAAGTCTCCTTCTCCTCTGTATGGCCACCACCTTGTTCAATTTTGTGGAATCTTAGTTATCTGGGAAGGGAATAAGTTTGGCCCAGCTTGGGTCTAGTATTCCTGCTCTGATTCAGTCAAGTCTGGCCAGGACTGTGGGTGATAGGATGGTGGGGGTGGTGAGGTCACAATGCCTATGAGCAGGAGCAGATTCTGTGAGAAGGGGCTTGAGCAGAGCAGGCATTTTGACCCACATGTCAATATTAAATGATCCCAGCACAGTGCTTGGCACAAAGTAGATGTTCCCAAAATACTGTTGGATGAATTATAAATAATGATCTGATCTTCCTTGGTTCTTTCCAAGTACTCCTGTTCCATCTCTAGCACTTACTGTTTTTGTCCTGTTCTCATGAAGCCATATCCCTTGTGTAGACCCTTGTTTGTCCTATTCCATAAGCTCCTGTTGCCCTTGGCACACAGTCACCCTTGTCTTTCTCTGCCATCCACTCCCAGAACACCTTCCTGGTTTTTCCTTGCTACCTCAGACCCCCGTGGGTACTCTAGTCCAACAAGCCATAGTACATAGAAAGACAATAATGTGTTTTCATACAATCTCATCTCATTTTTTTTTTCTGCCCACAAACCTGAGAAGTAGGTATTATCATCCCTATTTTCAGATAAGGACTTTGAGGCTTTTGAGGGTTAAATTGTTATGGACAATGCGAGTATGTAGGAGAGCTGGGACTTGAACTCAGATCTTCTTACTCTAAGTTCTGTGTTCCTTTGAGGAAAGTACTCCTTGATGATAGCACTTTGGATAGCACACCTGTGGTGGCATTGCTTTGACCTGATAGCTTTGACACCAAAAAGGAGGAAAACAGGAGAAATGATGGTTTAGCTTTACCTTTAGAAACGCTTGTTAGTAGGAGGGACCCCATCTCATCAACAAGGTGACATTTTCCCTTGAAATGTCTCACCCAGTACATAGGCGTGCCCATTTAAAACATTCAAAGCAAACATTGAGCCAACGTTTTACAAGTAATCTTTTGTCCAGCATTTGAGATCCTTGGCAGATCTTTTCTTCCTCCACACTTGCCTTTGTTACTCCAGAATGCCTCTGTCTGCTTGTGTTTCTTTGGACATTTGATTCATTCCTTGTGCATACTATTACCTGACCTCTGTAGAACACCTTTCCTATTCTCCCAGGCTTCAAGCTCTTCTATGGAATACCTCTTTCCTGCCTACTTTTCCAGACTTACCTCTCAATGTAAGATTTTTGCACTTTTGCTGGTCTGGCCTTCAAATTGCATTCATGCCAGTCAGCTGGCCTGTTGAGCTGTCTCCTCCTCTTCTTCCTCAAACCTGCTTTGATAGATTCATTCTTAAGTGTTCACTTTCCCTAGAATTATTGCCTATTGTACTCTTATTACATTTAGTAAACATTATCTTTCTATGTAAGTGTCTTGTAACTCAGAGTGTTGGTACCTTGAGTATAGGGGTCCTGCCCTGCACCTAGGTCAGGACTTAAAACAGGATAGGTGATCAAAGAAAATTTAGTTGAATATATTCATAACTCCACCAAAAACCATTTTTAGAGGCATGGCAGGATGGGAGGTTGATTGATCCTTATTTCCCCTCTTTGTCCCGTATATGCTAGTCTCACTAACATTTTGTATGTAGTGATAAGTTCTGGGTTTGGAGATAAAGGACCCGGTTTCAAATTCTGTCTGCCTTGTATAAGCTGTGTAGCCTTGGACAAGTCACTTAATTTATTTTTATGTAAGTTTCTTCAACTGGCAAATGGAGTAGGAATACCTGTCCTAGCCGCACCCCCACCTCCACACACAGTGTTGTAGTGAAATCCAAATGAGATAATGCTTGTGAAATAATTTACCCATCTGTAAAGCACTGTGTGAGAGATTATAAACACTCCTTCCTCATGTGCCTCCCCCCCCCACACCTTTTATGCTTTCATCCTTCTAAGAAGCAGTAGTTTGTGCATAGGGATCACCTGGCATTCTTGCTGTGGCACTCCATCACAACCCACACAGGATGCAACATACAGCTTACGGATTGACTTCAGTGGGATGTGAAAGTGGAAAGTGCATCTAGTTCTCACTAAGATGCCTTGGCTCAGATTCAACAAATGCCATTTACTTGAATGCTTCTTATTTGCTTGTTCTGCTCCCCCCACGCCAAAATCTTTATCTATTTGTCCATTTATTCATTTACTCATTTAGCGCAATTGTTTTGAGTGCCTACCAGGGTCATGAAACATGTTAGATTCCCAAGATATTCACATGGTCCTGAGTGTGACAGACACACAAAAACTACTTATAGTAGATATAAGAACTATAATAAGATATATAGGATACACTGTATACACAGGTAGGAAAAATCTTTTCTGCGAAGTGAGGGAGTGTGTGTCATGAAAGGCTTCAAAGGAGGTGCTAGTCTATCTTGAAAACTGAGTAGGTGAAGAAGGTAGAGGCAATGCAGGTGAAAGAAACAGCTTAAGAAAAAAAATCGCCGTGGGAACCATTGTTAATTCAGCTTGTAAGATTAAATTACCTGTTGTTTGTCAAACCCGGTACCAGTTTATGGGGTTACAGGGGTCAGTGTAGGCATCATGGGGGGTGGATGGTGAAGTAGCAAAGGAAAACTAGACACATTATGAAGAGCCTTGAACAGCCATTTTACCCTACGCCAGTACATGTAGAAAAGGGTTGAAAGGATATGGGAACCTGCCGCCACCAATGCCTTGATTATTCACTGGAACCCTTTCAACCAGAGAAGGTAGATACAGTACTGGGCTTTACTGAGGACTGGGTGGCGCTGTCTTTAGGGGCAGGTTAATAATATACACCTAAGTGACAAGAACACTCACGCCCGAGGACATTAGACTAGTGAATAGACAAGTGGAAAAATGTGTCATCTTATCAGTAATTATAAAGAAGCAAAAATGTAAACAAAGCGGCACCTAATAAGGTAGAAGACAAAGTAAAACATCTACGGCTGTTAGGTAATGGGGAAGCAGGCGTCTTAGAAAACAAGAAGGGCAAATGCAAAAACCTCTAAGGCAAGAGTTCGGTGGGGAGTCTACAGGATTCTTTGTGCTGAAGCGCAAGAGGCACGAGTCACCGCTGCGGTCTCCGGTACCAAAGGGGCGAGGGGTCCCCTAAGGCCGGTGAGTCGGCGTCTCTAGGCAACCGATCTTCCCGCCCACTCCAGAGTGACTCCCCCCCCCCCGTAATTGGCTCACGAATTCACCAATGGGCGCAAAGGGGAAGCTTCCCGCCACCTCTGGCGCCCGCTTTCAAACAGCCGTACTTTGCAACTGCAGGCGGACTTCTCAACCAAGCTTGAGGAAGGCGGAGACTTCTGCCTCCTCGCCCTGCCCCGAGCAGACACGGCTCCGCCCACCGGGCGAGCTTCTAGTCGGCGATTGAAGGAGGCAACTGTTCCTTAAGGGCTTCCGCTCCAAGGGTTCGGTTGTGACTAGGAAGGAGCCAGTGGACTAGAGCCAGGGAAGGGGGTTTGCTAGAAGCTGGTCTTCCGCTAGGTCTAGAGTTTCCTCGCGGTAACAGCCTCCGTGGCCTCCGGTGAGTTCTGATTCACGAGTGGGCTTGGAGCTGGGGTTAGAGGAGTTGCGGGTTCCTCGGGATCCTAGCTGAGGCTTCCCAGGGGGCGGACCTGCCCCCTCCCCAAATCCCTCTTTGGTGGACTGCCCGCAGGCTGCGGGCTCAGCTTTTGCCTTTAACGCGTCATTTAGACCTCTTCATTCCTCCAAGATCCTACTTAGAAGTGACATACAGGAAGCCCGCCTCGTCTCTTCTCCAGGCTGCTGGGGCCGCCCTGAGACCCTACCCTGCGGACCCTGCCTTTGTCACCCTGGCGTCACACCTGGCTCACAGTGGGTGCTCTGTGCACGTGTGTTGACCTAGTACAATTGACGCTGGCACTCAAAGCCAGCAGCCCCGGAGATCCTGGGCCCCGTGCAGCTTTGGTCATATTTGTAGTGCCGTGGCTGAAGCCAAACAGTTCCTTAAGGTCATTCGGTCAGCCTGTGGTGGATGCTATTGTGTATTAGCATTACTCGCTCTGCTCTCTGGGCAACTTGAATCAATTTGTCCAAAGTGCTGTCATTAGCACTGGTCACAAGTTGTGTGATCATTTGTTTATATGTCTGTTTTATTTCCCTCCATCATGTCCTGTTAAACTTTGTCATCTTGAACAGTGCTTGGTAACTTGTCGAATGAATCAATAGGCCGCCCCCACCAGGTGTTGCAAGTCTAAACCGGGTTACGCGCTCTGGCTATTTCCATTCTAGAAAGGTAGTTATGTCAGCAAGTAAGAATTTCCCAACTAGTGCAATTCTTAGAAACCCCTTTTGTGGGGGTTTACAACCCTTTCTATATCGTAGTCATGTACTCGAGTCTATTTAAGCCTAGTATCACCATATACCTTCATAAAGTGCGACAATCTATATGCACTCCCTAGACAGGTGAATGCACTTAACTAAAGAGAAGCTGAAGTTGAAGCTATAAGAAAAACATAAGAAATACAGTCTGAAAGTGCAAAAAAGTGGCTAATTCTATGGGGGAACATGCTTGGGAGGGCATCTTCAAGGAGGGTGACACTTTTGTTCCCTGAGAGGTTGCATTATTTGAAGTGACATTTCTCATAGGTTGCACATTCACCTTTTCTCAGATATGCAGAATCCTCTTGATTCCCTTAACCTTTTCTGTAGCTAGCAGACTCCTATTCATCAATAATAATGTTACGATAGTAATAAAACTAGAATGTATTGATTGGTATATAGTGCTAATTATTTATATTATCTTGTGACTCCTCAGAACCAATCTTTGACATGGATACTGTTTTTACCCCCATTTCATTAACGTAGAAGCAGAAACAGTTTGCCCAAGATTTCACAGCTGATAAATAGAAGAGCCAGAACTGAGCCTAGGTTGTCTGAATGAGTGCCCTAGTTCTTACAGCCATATTATGTCCTTTAAGATTTATTTCTAATCTAAAATCCGTTTTTTTCTGTAAAACTTCTCTAAGCTATCCTTTCTTCTTAGGAAAAGTTAATTTGTGCTTTGTACTTTGATCTTCTACAGAATTTATTACAATATGTTATTGTAACTGTTAGTTTATCTCAGTGGCTGTCCAAGAGAGGATGAGCAGAGACAACTTCTTATGGCTAGTACCATGTCTTAGATGCATCTAGGATATGATCTGGAACACAATAGCTATTCAATAAAATTTCATTGAAATAATGAATGTATATAGGTAACATACCTATATCATATTCAGTCAGCAGATACTTGTTGTGTGCCTACCATGTGCAAGGCGAAGGCGGCAGACACATTTTAATTCTGCCTTCAGGGTGCTTATAGTTTATTAGATGAGGCAAAAACAGTGCTACTTTTGCTTTGTAATCTTTTGTCCAACTAAATACCCATTGGTTTTGTTGCAAGGAGGGCAGAGAAAAAAACCGGGACAACAAAAGGAATGCTGGGTCAGAGCATCCATCTGAGTGTAACAACAGGACACCCTTTTTATAGTCTTGTTAAGGGTTCAGAAAAAGTTATCTAGGAAGAACGTCTACCAGACTGCTACTGAAAAGGAAAACCAAAACATACTGTACACTTATTCTGCATCTTGATTTCTTAAGTGATCAGCCTTGAGTCAATAGATATAAAAATATTTCATTATTTTTACTGTATTGTATTGACAAATTCATAGTATTAACAAATTAATTCAAAAATGATTTTACTAGTGCAAATGTTCATTTTTTTACTAGTGCAAATTAATTCATTATTGACAAATTCAAAAATAATTTTACTAGTGCAAATGTTCATTTTCAACATATTGATATTGATAGTTTTCAAGATGGTTTAGCAGTTCATATTTTCACCAGCAACTCATGAGTTACAAAATACAAAATAGTCACCACTGGGTGATAACAAATTTTTTTGTTCAATCTAGTGGTTGAAAATGGCATATTGTTGTTTAAATGACGCTTCTTTGAAACATCATGAGCGTAAGCATCTTTTCAAGCTTATTGATTTATACTTCTTAAAATAAAATGTCAGTCGCCCAGTTTTACATTGGATTTTCTCATTTCTTTGTAAGAATTCTATATTGGGACTTTGTCATATGCTTTGGAAATATTTTTCTCATTCTCATTTTTTCTGACATTGTTGGTCATGTATTTTTTCATACATAATACTTGACTTGTTAATGATTGTCTTTTGCCTTATACAAAATTTTATTTTTTTTTCGTGATTAGGTTTCCATCACATTTTTCTTTATGGCTTTTGGGTTTACTATCTTACTTTTTTTTTTAGGGCAGTCTCTTCTGTTGTTCTAAATATTGCAATAAAGTCTGAGGCAATTCTCCTGCCTCAGCCTCCTGAGTAGCTGGGATTACAGGCATGCAACACCATGCCTGAGCTAATTTTGTGTTTTTAGTTGGGATGGGATTTCTCCATGTTGGTCAGTGATAATGAGTGGTGATTAATAAAGTATTAGCTTGTAAGTCTTGTTTTAAGTATGTATTACCTTTTTAGTATATATATATTTAACCACAGTAAGTTGATCAGATTTCCCTTTATATCTGAAATCATTTCTTAAAGTCCCTTAAAGTTTATTCTTCTCAAAAGGAAAACTCATTTATACCTTTTCTTCAGTGGGGGAGATTTTGGTCTTTTTAGGTATTTTTAGATGTCTTCTTTAATGACATGGTTTGGATTTAAAATAACATTAAAGATATATACTTTGATCTTTTACATTTTATTTATTTTTGAGACAGAGTTTCGCTCTTGTTGCCCAGACTGGAGTGCAATGGCGTGATCTCAGCTCACTGCAACCTTTGCTTCCTGGGTTCAAGCGTTTTTTCTTCCTCAGCCTCCTGAGTAGCTGGGATTACAGGCATACAGCACTATGCCTGGCTAATTTTGTATTTTTAGTAGAGATGGAGTTTCTCCATGTTGGTCAGGCTTGTCAGGAACTCCCAACCTCAGGTGATCCTTGGCCTCCCAAAGCACTGGAATTACAGGCGTGAGCCACCACACCGGGCCTTCTCTTTACTTTGAAAACAACAAACACCATGTAGAATTATTCTTTATCTGAGGAAAAGTAACTCTCTGTTTAAAATATTAATAGCTACATTTTTAGCAATAGGCTCTTATAAATCTTAACGTTCTTTTTCAATAATCAGCATCAATTGATGGCAGACTAATAAAGGATTGGAACAAACCTCTTTTCTTTAACTTAATGAAGGAGAAATTAACCCCAGTTCCATATTTTGTCTTGTATTTATAGTTAAATGCAAGAGAGGTAGAAGACACAGAATTCAGAAGCAGAAAGGATTATTTCTGCCTGGAGGATTCAGGAATGTCGTTAAGGTCCAGCTTAATTTAATCTCTTTTAAGGAGATGTGCTTTAGTTGGGCTAGTATTTTCATTATCTATACATAGTGTTCTGTAGGCAAGTCCACTTGCAGTAGTGGAAAAAAATCTAGAGACATGAGACTGTGTGTTTTCCTTCACCGTTTCTCCTATGTTATAGGCTCTTTACCATACTTATATCTTTGTCTTATGTTGATACACAAAATGATAGTTACAGATAGATTTATTTTCCTCGATATGCATGTCTCTTCCCCCTTGATCCCTGGCACAAGCGTAGAAAGGAGTAGGTGTGGTCTGAGAAGCAGAGGCTGGAGGGTTTTAAGTTGATATGAAGAGTCTGAGTTGATATAAGTTGAAGCGTAGGGACCAGAGAGGAAGGGATTAGAAGGTAGACTGCAAATTAGAGGATGGCTAAGAAACATAACTTGGTCTTTGAAATACAAAAATTTGACCACTGAAGTTCATAACATTTTCTTTTCACATTTTAATATCTACAACATAGACGGCGTCCTAAAATTAGTGTTATGTCAAAATTTTAGTGGCTGCATCTTGTTCCTACTGCTACAAATGGAACTGCATCATAGAATCAAAGAAATCTTAGATCTGATGAAATGGGATGTGGTCTGCTCTAGAGCTACTGGCTTCCATAAAAGCTTGTGATATAGTTCTTAACTGTTAAGACGAGAGCACTAAGTTCTTTATGGTACAATGGATTTGCATTACTGTGTCTCTGTGCTTCTGATTTGACTTCCAGCTGAATGATATTTTAGGAGCTTGAAAGGTGTAGAGAATGAGTTGTGGCTCAGGCTCACATCCAAGTGCATTTCATTGGCATGAACAACAGTGGACTGAATAGAGGGCAGTGTGAGGCCAGGTAATTGATGACACCTGCCTAGTTTTTTTTGTTGGGATTATTTGGAGCGAAGTTCTGAGGAGTTTGTGTGTAGTGTCAGGATCCCTAAGTATAATTTAAATCAGCAGCAGCTTTTTTGACGGTAAGTAGTTGAAAACCCATTTCCTGCTGCTGCTTCTGCTGCAGCAGTGACTGCTCCCCAGGGAACTCTGGCTGTTGCTTTTGGAATTGGAAGTCCACAGTGGTGTAGCTTCACAGCCCTCTCTTCTGTTTTTCCTGAGTATATTGCCAGAAGCTGATTTTATCAAGCTTAAGAGAAGGACATTTAAGACTTATATTTTGTTGTGTGCTCTATGGAATTTACTGGATTGTAAATGGTTTCTGGGTAGCAGTCATTCACTCATGATTTAGGAGCCCTTTTTTGTGAAGCATGATATTTGGATTTCTGGTATTCAAAAAAAAGCAATTAGGATACTACCTGTGCCATGTTTAATATAGCACATCTGAAATCTTGTTTGAGCTTAAGATTTTTACATCTGGCACATTTCTAGTTTATTATTATTGTCATCTTATTTTTCATATGGGCAAAAATCTTACGGTTTTAACTTACACTTTTCAGACCACTAGAAAGGTCTGTTCATGGTGTTATTACCTATTTGCATTTTTTCTTTTCCATGAGTTGCTGTCATACCGCTATTTTCTATGAATCACAATTATTTGTATTGGCCATAACTGAGTTACACATATTTTCTCCAAGTCTGTTTCTGTCTTTTGACTTTGTGTATGTATGGCATCTCTTATGTAGTTTGTTCTGGGGAGATTTTATGGGATATTCAGAAACCAAACATCTTTCTCTTCCCACAGGAGGACCATGTCATTAGACTTTGGCAGTGTGGCGCTACCGGCACAAAATGAAGATGAGGAATATGACGAAGAGGACTATGAAAGGGAGAAAGAGGTAAATTGTTAAAAACTGACCCTAAACCCGATCTTTAACAAATTTTATTTCCTGATCAAAATCATACCATCTTGTGTCATTTTGAAGGGATTTGAAAGTTTTTTTAAAACAACCCTAAAACCTGCTTGTTATTTAGACTAAAAAAGTGGATAAGTGGAATGCTTCTATTTTCAAGACAAGAATAAAACACAACTGTGAATGATGCCATCAGATAAATGGTTAAAATTTTCTTTTCGTTTAGGAGGTAACGGTTGCCTTTGGAAGTGAAAGGTTAGATTCTAGGTGCCTGTAACATTGCCATGAGCCAGTCTGACAAGGGTCTTTCCTTTGGAAGTGAAAGGTTAGATTCTAGGTGCCTGTAACATTGCCATGAGCCAGTCTGACAAGGGTCTTTGCTTTGGATAGTTTACATCCTAGTGGAGGCAGACAATAAACAAGTGATGAAAGTAATTTGAGTGAGTGATAATTTATCATTAATAAATGACAGTAAACACACTGGAGTGCTATGAGAGCAATTGGTAGGGGATTGCTGTAGATGGGGTGGTGAGGGAAGGTCTCTAAGAGGAGGCAATATTTGAGCTGAGACTTGACTCATGAGAAGGAACCAGCCATGCAGAAGCCTGAGGAAGATCATTCTAGGCCAAAACACCAAGGAGTGTAAGCTGGGGAGTTGGGAAGAGACCCCATGTTATCTGTGGAGCAGCCAGAAGGCCATGGTATTGGTTATATATGAGCCAGTGTTGGGTGGTAGATCATGGAAAGCCATGATAAGGTGTTTCTATTTTATTCTAAGAGCAATGGGAAGGCAGTAGAGGATTTTAAGGAAAAGTGATATCATATTTTTGAAGATTTTTCAGAAGTCTGTATGGTCAATAGATTATAAAAAGAAATGAATAAAGGAGAGATCATATTATTTATATATAAAGTGTTTAGCAGAATTCTTGGCACATAGTAAGTGTTCAGTAAATGGTGGCGATAGTAATAGTAGCAGTAGTAGTGTTATTGGTGGAAGTCAGTTTACTTGTTTTGGTTGTTTTTAGTGTAAGTCCAATTTCTTGATTGCCTATGACCAAAGGCTTCTTTTGTCCTGACACTGTGTTTTATATGACCCATTTTCTAATATGTAAAGAAATCTTTCTAAATCATTATTGGAGACCATTAGTATTAACAGGAAGCAAAGAATAGGGTCAATTGACTGATGCTCATGTAGCTGGCAGTAGAATTATGGTAGTGATAGAAAACTGGCAACTTGCTGGATTTGGTTCATAGGCAGGTATTGTTTGGTTGCAGAGTGCTTTTAAAAAAATTGAATCCGTATTTGAAGATTGGAAAATTTTATGCAGCGCTGCAGAGTCTGGCTTATCTAAAAACATCCAAAGCCCTGGCCACACCTGGCCTCTATTTGCACATGGCAGCAGGCAGGCTGGAGCTGAGCAGTGGCTCTCCTTCCCCAGCTGGCCACGGTCCCCACTTCTCACACAGACATGGGCTTATGCACTCAGACCTGCCTGCTTCACTCTGGTAAATTCTCTGCCAGGTCCCCGAGGGCATTTGAGTTTATGACCCCGGTGAGAGTTTCTGGATTTTGGCAGCGCCTCTCACAACAATTGTTGTGGCAAGGATGGGAATGAGGATTTTCTGTTACTTGGAACCTGCCGCATGAGGTTTTCATGACTGCAGTGGCTTGGATAGTTGCCTGGGGTTTAGCCACTGGGATTCTTGATAGGGTCAGTTTAAGAAATCATTACTGTAAAGAAGAAAAAAATATTTTGACAGGTGATTTTTCACTGGGAAAGATATTAGAGAGCTAGGTAGGGTATTAGGGAGCTCATAATGCCAGTGTATTGTGTGGTTAAAATTTTAAAAGAGATATTAGTTAAGGAGGTGATTAATTCTAGATACTGTAGAAAATAGCTATTTGGGATCACCTCTTTTATAGATTGTATGCTGGGATAGAGAATTTCAGGGGGAAAGTTGTTTTTAAAAGATCAATGATCTAAGAATGAGTATTTCTAGCAGAGTGGAAGGATATATAGCTAAATTGACTCTAATATCACGATTATGGTTAAATTTGTAAGAAACTTCATGTGAATAAAAATATTTCTATTTAAAAAAAATTGCTGCAAGGGAAAGAGTGAGATTAGAGGCCAGAGAGGTTCAGATTTCAGTAACAAACTTCAGAACTTCACAAATCTTCAGCTGTATGTATACGTTGTCACTGCAAGTTAGAGTAATAAATTGGGTGATGAAACCCAAGCTTGCATGCACATCCAGAAACCTTTATAAACATCTCAGTCTTCCTGACCCTGCAATAGCCGAGCAGTTCACAGCCTTAAGAGATTAAAGAAAAAAAGCTCTTTTTTTCCTGTCTACCTTGTTGGTATCTTTGGGACTGTGGCTTTGGGATTACAGCTAGGTTATAAGTGTTAGCAGTGGGCTAATGCATATTGCTTTCTCTACTTAGTGAATGACTTTGTGTTCAATTTGCTGACATAGGAGGAATGCCTTTATCCCTGATGATGTGCTATAAGGCTTACCAGGCATACTGCATCTGACTCATAGTCTGTCTGCTCTGCTAAGGGTTTGTAAGAGCCTCTCTTGGTACATGGTTGGATAGTCCTGATTTTCACTCTCTGGGATGAAAGGCCAGTTGCTAATACAGCATGTTTTTCCAAGCTGTGTAATTTTGTTGTTTTGGTGCCAGTTGGGACTTTGTCCTCATATGCCCATATCCCAGTGAATACACCATTCCAACCTTTATGCCATCGTTATGAGCAGATTTACAATTATAATTTTGCCTTTTCCGTTTCTATTCTCTCCGTCGTTTGCATTGAAGATGAAATGGAGAAAGTGCCTTTAACATTCGGAAAAAGGAAAGCATTTAGTAAATAAGTTCTTCAATATTTAGAGGATATTTAGACCAGTGGAATTTTAAGCCACAGATCATCACTGATAGATCATCACCATATTTTGCAAAACAAAAAAAAAACAAGAATTTTGTTGAAAAGTCTTATAATCTATTTCTAAAGTGCTACAACTCTTAATGGTACATTAGTAAAAGTTGGCCCACTGGGGGTCAAGGCATAAAGGCATAGCAGAGAGGTATATAAGCCACAGCTTCTCACAGTGTTTCAGCTGAATCTCCATCTCTGAAAAATAGTCAACAGAGCAGATTAGGGTGCAGATCAGTGAGGTTGATGACATCATAGAGATACGTAGCTTGTCAGTTAATATAAATTAATTGTCACACATTACTTCTGTTTCTCCTGACTTCCTGGAGCACATTACTTTCTTGTACTGTTTGAGAGCTGCTGATGGTAGTTGTCCTTCTTGTTAAGAAGGAGATCTGATCCAAAGCAGACTTTTCCTTATAAAGCTGTCTCAGAAAAGAATTCAGAAGCTCTTGTATTAACTCATTTATAATGTAACAATGTGACTGCAAAGATACTTTTCAGCTTAAGTCACTATACCTTTTGATTTCACAGTTGGATATTGCAGAGATATAGTTTTCTTTCTTTCTTTCTTTCTTTCTTTTTTTTGAGACCGAGTCTCACTCTGTTGCCCATACTGGAATGCAATCATGTAATCTTGGCTCACTCCCCATCCTGGGTTCAAGCAATTCTCTTGCCTCAGCCTCCTGAGTATCTGGGATTAGAGGCATGTGCCACCATGCCCGGCTATTTTTTTTTTTTTTTTTTTTTTTTTTTTTTTTTGCATTTTTAGTAGAGATGGGGTTTGGCCAGGCTGGGCTTGAACTCCTGACCTCAGATGGTCCACCTGCCTCAGCCTTCCAAAGTCCTGGGATTATAGGCATGAGCCACCATGCCCAGCCCCAGATAAAGTTCTTTTTGTAATAGGAATGCTTGTTATAAGCCTTTTAGTTGTTGGGAAAGCCACAGCTTAAGGAAGATTGTTATTTTGGACTCTCACAGTCAGCTGGAGTAGACATGTACTTTCTGCAATGTCACCAGAAGTAGCTCTGCGATTGTTGTTGGTTCCATGTAGTAAAATTCTCCATTTATATATGTATATATACTGGAGCTGGTGATTTGGGGCATAAATACTTGGTAATCTATATCAAGATAATATTTGCTGATGATATATCATTTAGTGATGATGGGCCATTTAGTGATGGCATATTTGAAAATGATCTTGAGTAGAAAGGTGAATAGTTTAAGTAGCAGGTGGCAGATAGAAACTTCACCTGGCAATACTGACTTCGTTTATATATTGGTAGCTCTTTAATAGAATAGTAAATCTTCATTTAGCTTGGCATCATGTATTTTAGAGGCAAGGTTTCCATTGCATTTCTTTCACTTTGTAACTGCCTTGTTTGATGTAATTATGGAGCATTTTGATATTTTGTTTCCACTAGAGGGAGTTGTAAAGCTAGTATTTGTTTATATTTAGCGTGTATCCATGAAAGCATTATTTAATAATTCGTATTTTAAAATATCAGAATCTTTTTAGAAGTGCACTTATGAGGTCACCTGTTCCAAGGGAATATGACTGTTAGGTATTCCATTTGCTACCGTTTCTCTTGGGAGAAGATTATTGTGTGGTTTGTAATTTGAGGCCTCTTGCTTTCATGAATGTTGGGGATTACAGGCTCTGAAGATAATCTGTTTAGTTAATTTAAGCTGAAAATCCTAATGAAAGGTTTACATGTTCTTTGTTTTACATTTACCCTTCATTGTAGGCTTTTGTATGTTCTACATGGGTTATTGCAAAGTGTTTTGTTAACAAAGTTCTTTGAGTCAGATGCGTTCTTCTTTTTTCTTTTTAAGAAAGAAATGTGAAGTAGAAAGGGAGAGGAATTTATAGAATGATTCTGAATTTATTTCATTTGAAGCATTAAGAGTGGCAAATTATCTTTTTTTCTAGGGAAGTTATCTGTTAAATTTTTAAACTCAGTTAATACACAATAATAGCCTATTGAGATTGATGCTTGCAGCCAAAAATTCAATCTGATGAATTTTAAATTAATGAGTGGGATTAAA